CAGACGATCGATTTTAGCATACTCTGATAGGGCAAAATGGAACACCATCGGTTACAATTTTGATCATTCTCGTTCAGTGGATTTCGTGTTAGCTCCCCTACTATTAGAATACCTACTCAATTTTGTAGTAGCTTGTCCAATGTATCTCCTATGACCTATAGGTATAGGTAATGAAAGTAGCGTAATTTTTCTTTTCTCTTCTGCTAGCCCTTCAGGCTACAACCTTTCGCATATATTCACTTTTCACCCGATATAAGACTAAAGACTTTATTCATTTTAGAGACTTAGGACTATAAGACTATTTGCTTAATCTTTTGGTAGCCCCTTGAAAGTTTTCGTTAAAAGGATTCCCTTTTCACTAGCTGTTATCCGTTTAATTATTGCTGGAGATTCTTATTCTGGAGTTGATTTTGGTTACCGACTATTATGAACTTTGTAGCTGAGAACTTTAGTTCACTTTTGGCTGGCCAAGTTTGGAGGTCAATCAGAGCCTTCTGGACAATATGGAAGATGTACTCGAAAGGTCTTCAACAAAAAGTCGACCTCGTAAAGGGGATGAGAGGATTCTGAGAGCATGGTTCATAGTTAAAATGAACAAAAGACAATGAGAACAGATCCATGGGGTAACTGTTGTATTCGTTTTATAATTCACATAAAAAATGTTAAAAGATCTAGGAGTGGAATGATTACCAACTACTTGTCCTTTTTCCCAAAACTGATTTTTTATAAGAACATTATCACCTGCTTTCAAATTTTGGTTAAAATGTTTTACACTTTTATCGTGATTTCGTTTAAAATATTCCTGTTTGACTAAAAAAAGTTTTTTATGTGCATCTTTACTCTTTAGGAATTGCTGGTTTTAGTAATTCTGTGTGAATAGGAAGCTTGGTTCTGGTTAGTCTATTCATGAGCATTTGACTTGGCGATATACCAATACCCGAAACGGGAGTAGGTATTTCTAAACTCCAATAATGCGAGGTGGATATCAACATTGTCGTAAGACCATTTCTTGAACATTTATTTAGCAGTTTGAACTGCACGTTCTACTCGATCATTACTGCGTGGATATTCAGGAGAACTTGTGCAAAGTTGGAAATTCCACTCTTTGGAGAAGTTCCTGCATTCAAGGAAGAAAAAGGCATATTGTCACAAATTACTGTGTTGGGATACCAAACGTCGCAAACAATATTTTGAGGTGTTTCATAATTTCTGATGAGGTTTTGTTTTTTAATAGAATGATCTCGAGCCATTTCGAGAAATAATCTTGTACAATAAGATAGCTATTATCTGCATAATCCATTATACCACAAGCTATTTTATAAAATGGTATATTTGGTATCTCATGTGGAATCAATAAATCCCTTTGTTTAGCATTTTGATAACGTTCACAAACATAACAATTAGATATCATATTCTGTATGTTGCTTGACATGCCTTGTCAAAATAGAATTTGCCTAGCATATTGTTTGGTCTTAACAGTACCAAAATGGGGTTCATGAAAGAAGCCGTAAAATATAGAATCTAAGTTTATCCGGGACTATTAACCGGTGGTTTATAAATAACAAGCCATCTTCGATAGATAATTCTGCTTGAAACTTATAATAGTATTTAATTGAACCGTCCATTAGTTCATTACTTTTAGGCCAGCCATTTATAATATAGAACATTATACCTTTGACAAAACTGGATCATTGGCAGTAGCCTGTAGAAACTCCAACCTTTTAGCATTTGAACTATTTAAATTTTTGCTTAAAGTATGAACAGTTTCAGAAATCCATTGATCATCACATTCATCACCTTCGCTCTCTGGAAAATTTAGGTGAGATCGTGAAAGCAAGTCAACAATAAACATATATTTTCCTGGCAAATAATTTAACACTAGTTTATATTTAAGTAATTTTATTCTCATTCTTTGCAACCGCGATGAGGCGATATCTCCAATTTTTTTATTCATTAGAGTTACCAAAGGTTTGCGATCTGCAGTATTTACCTTTATTTCGCGACCATAAATGAAGGTATGAAACTTGTTTACTGCAAAAACAATAGCGAGAAGCTCCTTCTCTATCTGGGCATAATTTTTCTCACTAGAACTCAAACTACGAGAAGCAAATGAAATTGGTTTGTCATCTTGAAGAAGACAGCACCCCAGACCTTCTTTAAATGCATCGCAGCTGGTATGGTGATTGATTTAAATGCATCAAAGTTAGATAACACTGGAGCATTAGAAATTATGTTTTTTCACTACTAGCGTCTGATGACATGATTATTAACCTTTTTTCCACTTGTAAAGTAGGCTTTCTCGGCATTTGTTCAAAGTGGTT